AGTTTTTGTTTGAGATCAGTGCATTTTAAATGTCTCATTTGCAGTATCTGAATACTGAATCATTTGTGATTCAGAACACAGCAATTTTAAAATATCAACAGAAATTATAATTTCTATAAGTATTCTATATTAATGTGTAAATAGCAGACAAAAATGTGTACAATTGTAAATGTCCCATAGTATTGATTATTGAATTATCCAGAATGAGTGGAAATAGAAAAAATATGCAAATTAAGCTAATTAATGAAAATATTAGTACTTAAACCCAATCAGATCCTTCAAGTGTCCAGGCCTTTCTTTTTGAAAATGGCCTGGGAGCTAAATATTAATTTTCTGGTCACAGCAGCACGACTAATTAGGGGAGCTATGCTCTCAAAATCTGTCCAAAAATGTATGGATTAGGAATTTATAATTGGCTTTTCAGAGTCTTGATTCTGGGGAGTTGAACAATCACTCACCTTAGAAAGTAAACACCGAGTTAAAAGTATGTAATTATTGAGTCAGAAATGAGGGACTTATTTGAGATCACACAGTGGTATGTGAATGCTTAGGTTCCAAAGGCTAAGCTTGGAAATTTGTAAGCACGTCGTTAGCAATATTAGCAAGTGTTAGCAAGTGTAGATGGACTTTCTTGTTGATGTTTCATAAAAAAAGAAGAGAAAAAGTAGAAACTTTGAAAAGATCTCTCTTTTGGGTTTTAATTAGGTTACTCAAAATGCACAAATGAGTACCAAAAAGCTGTCACATCTTGCAAATGTTCCATATATGAGTAGCTGCACAGGAAATGGTTGAATAACATCAATAGAACAAGATTTGTGCATGGACACACAGTGTGCATCACATTACCAACCACAGTCCTGTGCAAGCTGAAAAGGTCATTGTACTATACCACAATGGTTCTGCTTAGTAAGAACATCCAAGAAAATACTGTGACTACTGTGGTAGGCTGTTCGATGTGTGGCACTGAACTACGGTTGGTTGTAGTAATTCCTAATAGGTGACATTTCAGGTGGATTTGTACATACTGCTAAATCTTTCTACATGTATATATATATATACACCGGTAAGCACAATATTGCACATGTGTTCTTCTCAGGGTAAAAATAATTGTCAATGTCTTTACCAAAGGACAATTATATAAGTCTCATTCTTTTTTCTTTTTTTTATCTACCATAGGTGAATAAATTTGTTTTGCTATGATTGCAATGACATTAATACAAACCTTTTACTCTGTTCTCAAGTCTTGTATCAAGTTCAGCTTCTTTTTGACGGGCTACTTCTGATACCTGAGGGGCATTCTGAAAAGTTATTACCACAATGCTCATATTATCACGGCTTCCCTGTGAAAACAAAGAAAACGTGAAATAAAATAGGCAGTACATGTTAAATCTTCCTCCAAGGTTACTGTACTTAGACTCATTGCTAAATTCCGAAATGGAAATTGCTTACAGTTGTGTTTTTATTTTCTCAGCGCTACACTACCATGACGTTTGATTTATTTGTGTGACACAAGTTAGGGAGTGTATAAATGTCTAAACATAAATGTATAAATGTCTAACAATATATAACAATTATTTTTCTAATTTTTGAAGGAGAGAGAAAATGTCATATGAATTTATTATTAATACAAGTAAATGTATATAAATGTATATGTAAGCTATCCTTGAATTTCAAGGCAATGAGTCTATTTATAATTATGATGTATTATGTTTTGCATGTTTGATATGCATACGCGCAGAGTATGTGATTCTGTATATGATACAATGAAAAACTTGTAAATATTTCAATTTCACACAAGCTGTCACAAAATAATTGTATTTATTATTATCAAATTTCCTGTTTTTAAAAATCAATTAAAAATGCGCATTTTTTTAAAACTAAAACAAGAGGTAGGCACACCTTGATCTTATAATTGAGTTAGAAAAAGCATATCAATCACACTTGCTTTTGGTTAGATATAAGTGATATTTGTTTTTCCCACAGAAAACCATATTTCTATATACCATATTTTCTCTATTAGAACAGCATATAAACCAAAATTCATGTTTTTCACGCAAGTGCATGCACTACCCACTAATGGAACAAATATGATAATAGTTGCAATAAAACATTCCTAATAATATGCACTATTAGAATAGAATATATGCTTACAGGCCTGGTCGAAAAGTTAGAATCAACAAACCAGTATGGGTTTGATGAACTTAAAATCCATTCAAAACATTTTGGGCTTGTATGCACCTCAATTGGAGATGAACTTCAAATAAAGCAAATACAGTAGACAATGTACTGAAGGAGTCAAAATTAAGGCCTGTCCAGCTGTTCCAGACAGGCAGATTATAACTAGAACTGGTAAATGTAGAAATTGTCGGTTATGATATCAAGCGTTTCTAAAGTGACCAAATAGGGTAAGTCTCAAATTGATAATGTCCAAACAAATTGACTTCAGAGTATTTGAAATCTATAACTTGATGAACTGAAAGTGAAATTTTTATTTTAAATATGTATTAATTTATTGGTTAGGGACTTGTACATCATCAATTGGGACATGCCTTTTATTCTCCAACCTGTCCAATAAGTTTCAACCCTAGTTAACTGGTAGTCAGTTTCTCTGTGATAGATATTTGCTACATGTATAGTTGAAACACATCAATAGCAAGGTCAATCATCTTGATAGCTGACCACGACATGTATATGCGGACTCATCACTGAATGCAAAATGGGGTCAAATAATCGGTCTAAATGTAGAACCAAGAACACTTTTTTGAAGTTCAGAATAACAAAAACTTGCTCAATATTTGCTTGTTTCAAATTACGCATCAGAACTTATTTGAAAGCAAAAAAAGTAATATTTCAACCATATAATAAAAATGAAGTGCCCACAAATACGTTCGTACCTTGCTTAGACAGGTGTCAATAACCTGATTACATACGAATTCCAGATTATCTGTGATCAGTAGACGGGACCGAATGAATTCACAGAGTTCGTCATTAGACATAACATCCCATATGCCATCACAGGCAAGCACAATAAATTCATCTTTTTCAGAACGTTGATCAAATAAAACTTCGGGCTCTGGAGAAACAAGTTGCTCGCATGGTCCTCTACCTTCAACATTTTTATATTCAAAGTCCCCAAGAGCACGCGACACTGCTAGTGATCCATTGACTCTCTGTATCATGACACTCCCGCCAGCGTTCTGAATACGCTCCTTCTCTGCAGGCTTTACAGGTTTGTGATCATCGGTTATAATAAAGGGCCTTCCATTACGTATTAACATTCCCCGCGAGTCGCCACAATTTGCAAAGAACACATGTGTTGGTGAAATAAGAACACATACTGCAGTGGAGCCACTCTTGTCTTCTCCTGTGTGAAGCTCAGGCAGTGAGCGCAGTTTCTTATCAATGTTTAAGAAACCTGTCCTTAACCCATCTCTGACGTTTTCAAGAGCCGGGTGGATTGACGCAGTTGGTTTATTGGTACCTTTGAATTCTTGGGTTGAGGTGACCTCATCGAGAAGATGTTCAGAGCAATACTTAGCTACTTTCGAGCCTGCATGACCATCAAACACTGCAAAGAAAGACCAGTCTTTAAGCCCATGAGGGAGTCCCAGCACAGCTGAATGTGCATCTTCCATTTCCACTCTCCATCCCTGCATACTACTCAAACCAAATCGTATCCCATTTCCTGATCCATGCTCGTTCTCCTTCTCTGTCTTCGGTTTTGCCAAGAACGCCCCCATGGCTGACTCAACTCAACTGTCAAGTTCCTAAACGAGACTGGTGTTGAATAAATAATGATACGGAATTATCGTCACAATCGTGAAAAATGAACAAAATACAAGTAACAATCAAGGACGGTTAAAAATCGAGCGAAGGTGAAAGGTAGCACTTATGTCATAGGGTGATTGACATTGAGGTACGCTTGCACAACAGACGACAGATACCCAGATAATACGAGGTATACAGTCAACATGAAACAGCACGCATTTTCAACACAGTATCTTCTAGTCGTGCCTTTTGAAAGATATTAACACACATTTACTGCTTGATCGGACCATTAAAAAATCCAAAAAAATCCAAAAAAATAGAAGACATGGGCTAAACATCAAATAACAATGAGAACTGGTCATAAAAGCTTATGCATTCCGGTAGGTTTGGCTGGAGTTGGGGCCCGAGCTGGTTGCAGTGACATCATGTTGAGCAAATCAACAGTTATGGACGACGATGCAGAGAAACGGCTCTAAAAAGCCGACCATTCGAGAAATTTTTCAGTAGCGATTGGTACTTACGGCTTTATATGATCATCGGTTATTTTGGCGTGGGACGTTCGATCATAAAGTTGTCCCCTTACCGGCCAAATGGAAGCTGAAAATCGACAGAGTCACAGCCAAACAAACGTAACAAAACGACCTAACACTTATCTCGTCTGCGTCTGCGTATAAGCTGTACCCGTACCCCGGATGTAAAGGAAAAGCCATTAGAGATGACGTCATTTTTAATTTTGTATTGTGACATTGCAACCCGCATCGCATCACGAAAGTGAAAACGGAAACATTACACTTCCGCGGAATATTAAAATTATTTGATTCTAAATTATTGTTTTAACTATGAAAATAAAGACACTAGATGTAATTTTCCACATTTTTGCACCAGCGACAATTCACGGTTATGACCTTAAACTAAAACTATTCACCGCCAAAGTTTTAGAGCTTGTTTTACTAAAACCGGTTTAAGTTAGCAGTCCAAAAATGAGACAGAATATCAAAGGTATAGGTTAAATATAATAAATAATGATCGATATTAATTTGTTGACCCTCGTGTGACGACGGACGGTTTCATTGCGCTAAAGGATATATATTTACTTATTAATCAATATGCAAATTAGATACTTATTATGCAAAGTTGGAATAACATATTCGTCTTCCATCGGTATATAATTAGCAGTAGTCTTATATTACAATTTAAGTAGGCCACTTTTTGAGACAATCGTGACAGATACAAGTCAACGATTCCAATTTACTTAATTGGATGCTTTGCAAATTACTCTGCACTGAGGTACACATCATTACAGGAGTTTCAAAACTAGCGTGACGCCGACAACTTACAGATTCCACGTCATGCGCCTTGCGGTGCTGCAATTATTAATAATGAGTATCGAGCATACAAGTTCAAAGTCATCTTGCAAGTTATCAGAAGTACCACGCTGTGATTGAAATGCAAATTACCAGTAGAATAAATTAATTCCATTTGATCATGGTTTGATATATCCTATAATATAATCGGATCACAAAAGCATTGCTATGGTACCCATTTTAATTTGATTGAACAAGTTATTGAAAAAGATGCAACATGGACGAAAACGTATTTATTTATATTTTTAATATTGCTGTTCGATACTCCTTACCAAATCAAAATATGATTTATCATAAAACTAAAAATATTGCGTTTGCAGGACACGCAATATTTGTTAGATTAAAAAACTAAAACCACTAATACGCATGCGTGGTGATTGCTAATGTACAATGAAGTTATTGTACCGAAATGAGAATGTCGTTGTACCCAGGTAATTAATTTGCTTAACAATGGCAATTTCTTTTTCAGCGAAGAAGAATATATTATTGCTCAGGGCTCTGTTTGATTTATTGAATACAATAACCTTTGTTTTCTCTGTATTAACAGCCAGGCGCCATTTGACGTATATATTTTTAAGTTGTCTAAACAGTTTTGTAGCCCCC